AAGGGGCAAAGTTTGAATATACATCTCTCATTTACAATTGTTAGAAATGCAAACAAGCCACAATAATGTCGACTACTTAACATTTCCAGGCCCTTTCAATAAATCATTAAAAAATACAAGTGAACCTTCCCATGGATTCAATGCATTGCCTAAATTCGCAAGAAACTAGGGTACAAAAGACCCTAATCTATGAATCCGGGTAAAGCTCCCTACTGGTTGGAATCATACTGACACAAAAGGATGATAGTTGTGGCCGTTGGAGAGCAGTCATCTCAGCTCCAAGACATCTCTGCAGGAGTTCCTCTCGGTAGAGACGAAACCCAAAACATCTTCGGATGCTTCATCCGTGACCTTTCCTCCGTCATAAAGGTCAGAAGAAGTAGGGATGTTCACCAATGCTGGCACAATGTTCAGCACCTTTCATAACTCCTCATACTGAAGCTGTCCATGTTCAAATGCAACAAGCTCTGGACAATTTTAAGGCTGATCAATGGCAAGTAACATTCGCACCATACAAATGCCAGCAATGACCATCTCCAATAAGAGATAGACAATCTAATCACTGCCATTTGATATTCAAATGGTGTTACCATCACTGAACTCCCCACTATCAAAAAAATTGTGGCAGGCTACCATTGACCAGAAACTCAACAAGACTCACCACATAAACACAGCTTTAAAAGCTAGTCAGAGGCTACGAATACTGCAACAAGTAACTCACCTCCTGACTCTCAAAAGCTTGACCATGACCTACAAGGCTCAAGTCAATGTGATGAAATACACCCCACTTGCCTGGATGGGTGCAGTTCCAACACTCAAGGAGCTTGACACCACCCAGGGCAAAGCAGTCTGCTTGATTGGCACCACATCCACATGCATCGACCACCAATGCTCAGTAGCAGTGTGTACTATCTACAAGGTGCAGAAGTTCAAAAATCCTTAAATAGCATCTTCCAAATCCATGACCACCTCCATCTAGAAGGTTAAGGGCAGCAGGTACATAGGATCACCATCACCTGCAAGTTCCACTTCAAGTCATTCACCATTTCCTCATTTTCACCAAGTCAAAATCTCTCCCTAAGGGTATTGAGTCATATTACAGCACTTAGACAGCAGTGATTCAAGAACGCAGTTTACCGTCACCTTAACGGCAACTCAGGACAGGCAATAAATGCAGGGTTAGCCAGCAACACCCAAGTCCCACCAGTGATGCAAAATGGCTGAAGTCACTTCGGCTTGCTAGCAGAAACACACAGCAAGTCCCTGCTTCAGGTCACCCCACTTAAAAATTGTTCAGTTTAAGCAGTTTCTTTTTCAGAGCCTACTTTTCCAGTTTACCTTTATTTCAGCTTCTAGTTTGTTGCATTGTCATCAGTATTCTTAACACACGCATTGCACTGTCCCTCATTTAACATTCTGGCACCAGATTTGTAAAGAAAGGTACATGCATTCGATTGAAATTTGATTTTTTTTTGAAAAACACAAAAGCAAACTTCTGAAGAATGAATACACAAAGATGTTTTTCTATATGCAAAGAGGCACAAGCACAGCTGCTCATTTGTTAAGAAAGGCAGCATTCAGATGCTCTTGACACCCTCAAGCAGATTTTATTTTTAAAGCCCCAGGTGTCCATTAGTAAGGCCAGAAGCTTAAAAAGTCAGAGGCATTTGCTATTGTACAATTAAAATGATTTTCCACATCTTGGTTTATTTAGGCAAAAAAATACAGGGTGCTACTCAGGAGGTAGACGCTACAGCTGTCCAATTAATTTTGGAAGCCTTCAGCCCCACAATTGCTTCTTGTGCATGTCTGGAGCAGGAGAAGAAACACCTAGTTAAAAATCCCTAATTCCTGACTTGTGATTTAGTGCTGCAATCCCCTGGAATCCCTTTAAACACAGGTTGGAAGGGTCCAGCAAGTGGTGGCAGTGAGCCTGCTGCACAAAGAAAGCAAATTAGAAAAATCAGCCTTGCAGTGAAATTTGATCTTTTAAAATGTTGAGGTGGAGAAATAGCTAGCAGCTTTAAATGGTGACAGGTTGAGCCTGTATCGAAGATTAAAATCAGTATCATATGACTGCTTAGTTTGATGCAAGAAAAAGTGAAAAATCTGATAGAAGACTTGCTGAATGAGGTAGTTGAGCCTTCCATTAGAAAATTTCAATGCTAGTTACAGATAGTTTCAGTATCGAGGTGTTAAAATGTCTGATGAACTGCAGCTAGTACTGCTGCAGAAGCAGATGATGGATTTCCTGCCTATTTGAAGAAGGTGGCTACCTATCAGAATCATTTCAATCTTAAAAACACAGGGCTTGTTCAGAAGCATATGCCACACAAAACACACGCTTGAAAGATGGCACCCAGATTTAAAGCTGCCAAAGATTATCTTACTGCTCTACTTTATGGAAATGCTGCATAAGAATCCAAAGTTTAAATCTTCCATGATGTATCAGTCCAAGACACAATAGTATTGACAACTTATCCTAAGGATAAGCATTCATCATAGCATTCAAATTAAAAGCTGAATGCTTTGAATGATGGGGTCACTTTCAAGAATGGTTCACTCTATGCTGTCCTTGCTTGAAAGGCATATTGCAGAAAAAATCTTCCGATGCTCTTGAATAATTGGCCAGGTCCTTGATGAATATCATCCTTGATAAAATGACTGAAAATAAATTAATTTTCCTGCCACCCAACAATTTCATGGATTCCTAGAACAGCAACATTAAAGGTATGGTATAGGTAAGAGGTCCTTTACTTAACTCAAGGCAACAGATTGTGAGAACACACCAGTCAAGGAATTTTTACGTGGCTTCATCCTCAAGGGTATCTTGAATACTGCTGATTCATGGGAAGAAGTCACATTGACTTGCCTGAAGGACTGTGATGGAAACTGTGGTCCAAATAGGTCAGTGGCCATGAAGATTTCATAATGCTGTCATGGAAGTTCAGCATGAAATCAACACCTTGGTGACCATTGATGAAATGGAGGAAGCTGATATGGTGGAATTACTTGTATTCTGTGGAAAGGAATGATTTAAAGAAGACTTAATGCATCTAGACTGTCAGCCTTTGAAGAGGTTGACTACACTGAAACACTGTCTACTCGGTTTGGTTAACAAGAGGTTTCCAACTTACAGAAGAGGCAAATGGACGTGGAGGATGACCCAGAGGATGCAGCACCAAAACAAACAGTAGGATCAATGATGTAACTGCCATAGAACGATCGACTGAAAGCTAAAAAATTCAGATAATTTGAATAAACTTTAAAGTTATGATGATCCTGGTCCCTCATTCCATTAATTCCACCAGGAACTGGTTGTTGCCCGCTGCCTTCAATTCAAAATGAAAAATCATTCCTCACTTTAATCATCGAGCTTCTGAAGAGAACCAGGATCTCAAACTAAGATCATGTCATCATCAGGTACTTCAAACCACCACCAGTGTCTTCAAAATGCCTTCAAGTCTAGCAAAAAGATGAGGCGACAGCAGGTCTTCTTTCAAGCTAATGTGCCTAGCATCATATGCAGCATCACGGAAACACCTTAAGCATATCCTCAAAGCATCCATTTCAAGATCAAGCATCTCCCTCCAACTCATTGTGGCCAAACAAAATGGGAGAATTAATATTTTGAAAGGTACCAAAAAAGGGATTTCATCGGGAATATGAAGAGACAAGTCAAAATGACGGAGTGCAAAAACCTCCAAGCAACTGATCTACCTGAACTTCCAAGCAAAACCTGCAGATTACTCAATGGCTGAAAAATCCATCTCCAAATGGATTGAGCCAGAGAGGAAGCAAGTCATCCTCAAACCAGAGAGACTGCTCAAGAGCCTATTATTAGTGGATCCAATATGAATTTATACAGTATTTCATTAAAATGTGACTTTTTTTTGCAAATCACTTAGCCAGAATGCACATTGCATACATATACAAAATCTTTCAACTTGTCACTTTATCCAGGTAAGAAACGTCCAAAAGGGAGCTGCTGTACATGCCACCATGACAACGTTACAGGTATATGCTTCACCAGGATGCAAGTGCTGTAGTGTGGGTAGGATTGCCATTTTCTGGTTGAACTGGAAAAGACTCTTTAGTAAGCAATATATAGTTGATTGCATCTCTGGAACTATTTACATTACAATGTTATGCATATATTACAGACTATTGGGAGGACCAGGTCTGACTCTTTCAAGATCCTTAGCTACTCTCAATCAGTCCACATGACACCACAATGAGTGCCTGAAGAGCCACCCAATCAGCATTGACCCCCATCAGATTCATATGCAACAGAACCCAGTTCCAGATTAACTGCTGATTCGCAAAGTTGTTTCACTTAGTCATGATTTAAGAATGCAATCTCAACTTTCAGTGAGGTCATACTGTACATTCACATGCAAGGACTCATTCTCTGCAAAAACAATTGGTTCAGTCTGTCCCTTTTCTTTTTGAATTACCCAGAAACACAAGGTGTCAGTCAGAGTAGACTTGCCAATCAATCAGCATCCTTTCACCCTTCCCACATCCCATCCCCACCCAATCATGGTATAAACTGTTGTGAATAGTTTGAAACTTAGTATTCTTACGATGGTCCTGATGAGCGCAAGATGAAGAGCTTCAAAATGCTTCTCAGCATTACTCTGTACGTGTGTGTATGTTATATGCAAATTGTGTCAAATTATGAAGACTGAGTAATATAGGGCAGAACAAATAATTAGTTACCTGTGCAATCTGACACATTCGTATTTTTCAGCCTCAATGCATTTTCATTCAATCTGAAAGAGTGGGTCATCAAAACAAATTAACTTTGTAGACAACAGAACCTGAAAATGAAATATCAGCACCTTCCTGAAATTCAGTAGGTGAACACTGTTCAAAATAGGAAGAAAGAGTTGGCAAGTTGCTATTATCACTGTTCCAAACTTTGCCTGAGAGTCAGTGGATATCTAGCCCAAAACATATTGAAGTCTACATCTAAAATTTTGGAAGAATGGTCATTTGGTAATGATAAGTCACAGTAAACAGTAAACACCATATAGCTTAGATTACAACTGCTGCTATTGAACATCAAGGGCAACAGGTGGATACTAACCATTCTGAGCCACACACTGTCCTGACTACATCACATTTTATTTACTGCTGAGGCCAAAACCCTGGAAACTCTTTCTTATAACATTTACTTGGAGTCTCTTAAGAAACTTACTTCTGTGCTTATATTCTATTATACTATCCATAGTGACCAAACTCTCCAAGTCTCAAAAAAAAAACAAAGCTTTACAGGGGAGATAGGCAGACAATGTGATGGAAAGGAGCAGAAACAGACCAGGATTTGAAAAAAGAGAGAAACAGAGCAGGCAAAAGAGAGAGAGAGATGGGGTGGGGAAAAAAAAAGACCAAAGAAAAGGAATTTCAGGAAATAAAAACTGGCTGGTGTAATGTCTCATAGATTAATTCACACTTTAGTTAGCCATAAGCTTTGATTCTTTATAGTATCCATTGCTACGGTTCAGGCATCAAATCTCTGGTTATTTCATCACATCTAGCCTCCACCCTATAGGAGACCTTTTCCTTTGTTCTTCTTACCTTTTATATATTTCTATTCCTCTTCAGTTTGAAAAGACCGTCATCTGAAAATGTTAACTCTCGTTTCTCTCCCTTAATACTACTGCCAGACCTGTTGAGTTTTGCCAGAATGCTCTTAGTTCAGATTTCTAGTATGCATATTATTTGCTCCTTTGTTTGGACCTGCATTTTTACAGCGTACTGTAAACACTCATTTTAGGCCAAAAGGTGGATGATCTCAGCAATTGCAGACGTTGAAATCCACTTAACTTTAATTAGAATATTGCTTATGTGGACATATGCAAGTTTTGAAATGCTGCTTTCTATCCTAGCATCCAAGTTGGATGTATTTGTTAACTTGCAAGATGGCATTCACCCCATTCTGCTGGAGTATCTACCCAATATTCCTATTGTCTCCTGCTACTTCAACTCCCTAACCTGGTCAATGAGTTACTCTCAAGTATCTTTATATATGATGGGACTTTACTAACTGCCTTACAGAACTCCATCAGCAGAATATGGGAATGTTGTCAGAACAGTACAGCACGAGATCAGTATCTGGGCCATTTTATAAATCTCTAACTCAAATTTCTCTGGTTCAGAGTTACCGAGCTGGAGTGAAAGTTGACATACAAGGGAGGGAGAAGAGTCTCTGGATTCTTATTCCAGAATATCGTGACAGCGCAGGAGAAAACAGTTCAGAAAAGAAAGAGTGTTCAATTGATATGGTCCTGGCTTGTAGGTCTACAGGAGAGGTAAACCAGGGTCTGCAAGGTCTCTTTTCCTATCAAACAAGCACTTGTACTTGCTACTGAGAATAAGGAAAGACCACAGGGAGGATAGTCACAAATCAGACCATTGCTATCATTCCCAGCTTTTTGAGCTATGTGCTAATTATAGACTAACCTATTAAGAGAGTAGTGTCTTCCCTAGTCGAGAACAAGCTGCCGCAAGGTGTGCTGCCTGTCCATTGCCAATGTAAAGGGTATAACATGGCAATTGGAAAGAAATTTGCAATGTAAAAGGGTAAATCCAACTGTCATGGTCACTTGGGAACAAGAAACAGGAACAGATTTACAAGAAATGTACACAGTATAAATGTAAACAAAGCAGGGCTGGAGAATATAGCAAATAATAAAGTAATGGAGAACATTGACGGCATGGGAATAAGTAGATGTTACAGAACAGGAGTTCAAATGGTGATTAAACATAAATGAGAGGGAATCAACTGAATTGAAACTTCTTTACAGAATATGGTGTCTGTAAGAAAACATGACCTGCAGGCAATCTTGCATGCAGAGCCCAAGCTCAGTAAGAATAACTGAAAACATGACTACAGAATGCTGGGAAGCAAGAGAGAGAGGATATGCTACTTGCTCAAGACGAAAATGGCAGCAGTGGTAAAGGGAACCAAGACAGAATTAATGATGCCCTCAACAGAAAACAGTTTCTTGAAGAGGGTAAGCGGAACAGATGTGAGCACTAATGGCAACTGCTACTTTGATACCACATCACATGATCAGAGGCCATAGATTTAAGGTAAGGGGCAGGAGATTTAGAGGAGATGCAAGGAATTTTTTGTTTAAACCCAGAGGGTGGTGGGAATCTGGAAAATCACTACCTGTAAAATTAGTAGAGACAGAAACTGTAATAACATTTAAGTAGTATTTAGATGTGCATTTGCAGTGTCAAGGCTACAGGCCAAGTGCTGGAAAATGGGATTAGAGTAGTTTTTCTGTCATTGTGCTTGACTGGTGCAGACTCCATGGGACAAAGACCTCTGCTACATCAAAGAGTCACAATGTTGATACCCATGTTCCATTACTGCCTATATAGCCAGCTGCAACCCAAAGCTAAACCAAAAAAAAAGTTAATTAAAAACTCTCCCAACAACTAAACTCCCAACAACTCTGTGAAATCAGAGTGTGGAGAACTCTGTTCCACATAGTATAAAAGCAGCTCACACACAAAGTTCATAACCACAAGGATGCAATAAATCATGATGCATAAAATTTACAACAAAAACAGGACACGTACCAGTTTCAGGATTGCTACCATAGGATTTGAGAAGGGAGAAAGATTTTTTTGTTTTAATGATCAGCGACATAAGTTAAAGAAAATTACATTTATAGTTAACAGAACAAACATTTAAATTAGGATAGGACCAATTAACTGAAAGTTGAAATTGTTCAAAAAACTAAGTTTAGAAAGATACACTAAACATATACACTTCATTTAGGAAATTAATCTTCAGTTTTTTAAAAAACATAACTGAAAGCTATTGAAAAAAAAGTGCAACGAAGAGTCCAGAAATATGGCACTTCTGTACAAATGCTAGAAGTAATAAAGAACCTATTGCAATTGAGCAGTACATGGAGTATGTCACAAGAGAAATTACAGACTGATGTCAAACTATTTCAAAGAAATAGGTTCAGCCTCGGACAATTTTGCAAACGAAGTAGAAAGCAGTAAAGATCTAGAAGAGCCTAAGAAATGCAGGGGAAACCTCAAAAAAGGTTAGGTATGTAATGAGCAAGGGAATAACTAGGGGAAGATGCGGGTCCATGGGGAACCAAAGAGGTAACTATGCATGGACTAGGAAGACATCGGCACAGTTCTCAATGAATTCTGTGTCAATCCTGTTCCATTGTGAAGGCAGTGTAATATCAGGAAGAAATTAACAAAAGGGGAGGTACTAGTGTGTTTGACAGCCTTAAGTTGATAAATCCATGGATCCAAATGAGACTTATCCCAGGCACGAGAGGTGATATCAGGGCACTGGCAGAAGCTTTCAAATCCTCTCTTGCTAAAGTGTGGCATCGAGGAGGACTGATAACATCTCACTTACAAAAAGACAGAGTAAGGAATAGATCAAGCAATTGCAGGCCAGTCTAACATCAGCAGTGAGAAGCTATTAGAAAGAATGCACGTGGGAAGACAGGGATTAATTAGGAGATTGGCATAGGCGTACAGCACAGAAACAGACCCGTCAGTCCAACCAGTCCATGCTGACCATAATCCCAAACTAAACCTGTCCCATCTGTCTGTGCTTGGCCTATATCCTTCCAAACATTTCTTATTCATGACTTATCTAAATGTCATTTAAACTTTGTAACTGTACCCACATCCACCATTTCCTCTGGAAGTTCATTCCACACACGAACCACGAAAAAAAAATTTTCCTGCACATCTTTTTAAAAATCTTTCTCCTCTCCCCTTAAAAACATGGCCCCTACTCTTGAAATCCCCCACTCTAGGGAAAAGACATCTGCCATTCACCTTATCTATACACCTCATTATTTTATACACCTCTGCAGGGTCACCCCTCAACCTATGAGGAAAGTCCCAGCCTATCCAACCTCTCCTGGTAAATCACTTTTGAACCCTCTCCAATCATCCTGTAACAGGGAGACCAGAACTGGACTCCAAAAGAGGCCTGACCAAGTCCTGTACAACTTCAACATAACATCTCAACTCCTATACTCAAAAATCTGAGCAATGAAGGCAAGCATG